CATATGTTTCTACAATATACACATTGACTGTGAGTTTAAACTAACTTGAGTAAAATTTTTATATTAACTATATGTCTAAACGTGGAATTTTGGGAATGGGACTTGTTGCAATGACTATATTGGTCTTTGATTACTAATTTTCTATACAACCTGATCTATCAAGTCCCCTGCATTTTAGATATCTCAGCCATTTCCTTCCATCTTTCACCAGTAGTTAAGGGGTGCTGACACATTTTTGATGCATGTGTTACATTTTTCATGAAACTGAAGCATAACTTTTGCCAGTTTCATTAAAAACTGAAGCATAACCTTTGCCAGTTTCACCCAAATAGTATAAAGAAACTAAACCTTGAGATCTTGTTATAAATCAATAAGTTCTGTTTGTATCCCTGTTCCACTGCTTCGACATGCTGTTTGTGAATTTAAGCATAATTTCTTTGCTCAATTTTTGGTTTAGCCCAAACGTTTTTAAATTTAACTATTTGAAATTAATCAACAAATGAAATGGGCGATATAAGCAAGTTTTAATACTTATGCTGTGTTACCTTTGGAAATCATATACAATTATATATGGATAATAAATAGCATGCCAAAAGTACTAACGAATCAATAAATATGTTCCCCCATGCCAAAAGTACTTCGAAATCAATAAATATGTTCCCCAATTCCAGAAGTCGTGCAACTGTAATACTGGTGTGCATCCATGTTAGTTCGTTTTGGTCATCCGACAATCACCGAAGATGTTGACAAACAGTAATAGTTCATAATCGTGATCTGTTCATTTATCCGACGATTTCCGAAGATGTGGACATTTAGACGGACGTGGACACTTTTCAGCTATAACATAGTGGTTGGCTACCCACAAAAACCACCCAACTCATCAGGAACAACTCAAAAGTCGTTGGCTAGTTTTGTTATTACACAAGAAAAACCCAAACCATCCCCAGTGGAAAAAATACAATCGGATATTACCCATATATTAGTGATGCTGGACTCATTAACTGTCTCAGAGAAAAATCAGTCAGGAGCTATTAAACTTGCTGTGAATTGGGATGTGTGACAGCTTTGACAACTGCATCAAATCTATTGGAAATCAAACATTCAGACATTTATCAAAATCTTAGAGGATGGCTGCAAGATTACATGTATTACATGCCAGAACTTTTTTTTTCTCAACCAAATAAAAAAATGTAAGTATTTAATATTATAAGATGCAAGTGCATAAAGCATCCATCCTCTCCCTCTTTCTCTTGACAAGTAACAACTAACTAAGTACAGCAACACTATATATTTTATTTACACTACCTAATGAATGTCTATATTGTAAACCTCTTTGGACTTTGAGTTTAGAAATTGATTTATATCACTTTGATCAGTCTAGATACAAACTCTTCTTTTGGGCATGGTTTGACATATGAAAAAACAAAAACAGAGCATTTGATGGCTGGTGGAAACCAGCACTGGTGCAGTTTTAAAAATGCATTGATAGAGCACATTGGATGTAGCTCAATTCGAAGTGCTGGTCCCAAGCATTTCAAGGCTAAGCAACACGCTATGAAAGAAAGAAAGAAACAGGAGCGAAATTTGGAAGTGAACACCCATTTGGTTATTGCTAGAATTCAGATATGCAAGATGAAAGCTGCTGGAATGGCATACAAGGATATGGTTGGTTTTTTGTCATCTTGTGGTGCAGATGTTGGTAACATTGGACATGGACATTAAATTATAGTATATATTACTTATTATCTTTATTAAGTAGTTGCTTAAAAGTGTTAACTTGTTTTTGTGCTTGTTGCAAAGAAAGTAGTTCGTAGTAGTTTGTAGTTTATAGTTCACTTATTGTACACATACTATGTAAGTTGACATTAATTTTTGAATTATTTTTCTTCAACAGTAACCAGTTTCCAGAAAGAATTAAAACTGCATATGAATATGTAATTTTACAAACGAAGAAGTTTTTACAACAGCTGTTGCCATCCACTGGTCTACGCCCTCATATATCTGTTGAAGTTGATAAATCGACTCCACATAGGGACACAAACCACACGATTTTAGTGCTCTTGCTTGTCCATGCAAAACATGTCGCCATGCCTTTGGACCTTGTAATGGCAAAATTACGAGAAAACGACACATCATTGGAGTTTCTCAAACGCCTAATAAAAAGATCTAACAGGCTTCATACAATGTTTGGAATGGTCGTGTCCATTTAGAATATCAAGGTTTGGCAGCTTCCCTTAATTTGAAGGTGCTGGAGACTGTAACATTTGCCACAACACTATTTTTTAGCTTGTCTTATGAACAATAGGACAAGATTTACCAAAGCTACAAAGCTTTGATGGAAACATTTAGAAGATGCAGAGAAAACGAAGATGATGAAAATGAGGAGACAAGTATCAGGTTTGCCTCGTAGAGAAAACTTTATTGTTACCTGCAATTGCAAGTTGGCCTTCACTTAAAAACACGTTTTCCGTCTGTAGATTCCTGGTCAAAATTATGCAATTGATCTCTGCAGAGCTCTTGATGTCCTACAACCAGTCATCTCACTCATGCTACAAACTAAGGAAACCCGATTAAAGGAAGTCTTGAAGAATATTAAAACCAGTTTGGAAGAGGTGCTGAAAGGATCCAAACCTTCTAAAGCGATGTTGCCAAAGCTTTCTTTGCATCTAGAGGAATTGATGGCCTTGGAACACGGTGAAGATGACAATGAGTTTGAGGATGATCATGATAGGGTATGGTTCAGTAAAGGACAATATTTTTTTGTCTATGGCCATTTCACGATACACTGTTCTTTTCGAGCATTCCCCTAATTTATTACTTGATACTAACAGAAATTTGTTCTTTTCCTACAGAGTGTACCTGCATTAACTGGCTGGTTGGTTGTCAATGAAACCAGAGAAGAGCAAGATGGGAAGAGGAAGACAAGATTGCATCAAAGATCTTACTACTTTATGCGAAGATTTGCTAGTCGGCCTAGAAGCAGGGGAGGAGGGGGGTCAGTGGGCACCAAGTCTATGGGAATAATACTTCAAGGGCAGAAAAATTTGTGATGTGTTAGGCCCTCGAGGGCGGCATTGCCCTACTCGCAGTCTGGCTTATTTGTTGATCATGTCTAAATTTCTAATTTCCATTCTTAAATTTTAGCTTGACCTTTGTTCTTTTGGCACAGCTTACAGCTTATTTATAAAGTCAACAGCATTAAATGACCCATAAATTTCTGACCCATAGAGATATAATAGTATCTCTGATAATTTACCCCTTTTATGGAGCAGATCAAGGTAGTGATTCATGTGCTCCTTTGCCAAAGTTTCTACAAGCATCCTCAATGTTGTCATATTGAATAAGTTGCATCATTTTGTTGAGTCAATGTTGCCACATCGCCAACTATTGCGGTCATTTAGCCCGCAATGCGCTACCGGATACACCCACAAAGTTCAACCCAAATCACAAAAATATTGTATAAAATATTCAAATTTGCCTAGATGGGCTATTATTATTACACCATATATGAACATCATGGTTGAAAAAAACAATTCTACAAACCCTATCTTGTATTTACTTTTGAATTTCTAACTTTCATCCAGCGTTGTCTAGTGCTTTAATATATATTACTAGGTTACCCAAAGGGTAGTAATGCTGCCTTCAATAGCAAAACACAGAGTTGTCACAGAAATAAGACAAATAATATAGTTTGCCGCATAATCTTGAAAAACCATAGGCGGCCCAGAACTGATCTCACTGCCCTCGCGCGATGCTCATGTTGTCTGAACAGTCTTATATTATGACAAGGTTGGCAACTCTCACGTCAAATAAGCTAAAAACGCACGACGGTTGACCCAAACACCTTCACAAAACCGCAAATATTTCATAAAAATATGGCGAATAAGAAAAAAAAAGTACAACACATTAAACTTGAATAATTTTACTACATTTATACTATATTTTTAGCATTCAAATGTATTCCTATGCATGTATAAAACGTGAATGTTTTTATGGTTTCTGGCAAATATATTTCAAAACCTATGCTGGGGACACCTTGCCTATACCTTCGTCATATTTTTAAATTGAGAATAGAAAGCTGATTGGCTGTCGTTTAAAAAGAGCCAATCAGCTTTCTATTCTTAATATAACTGTTCAGACAACATAAGCGTCGCACGAGGTCAGTGAGATCAGTTCTGGGCTGCCTATGGAAAAACAACAATACAGTTATATTTAGTGTTTCTGCGTAAAATAATTTATATAAATGGTTAAATAGTAAAGCATTGGAGAAACATTCTATTCATAGAAAAAATATTTACACTAAAATTGCACCGTGTAACATGGCTTTAAAGAGCGTTTCTGTGGAATTTTAAAATGTCAGAACAAAGATAACAGAACAAAGATGACAGAACAGTACATGCAAAACTTCTAAAAAGTGGTAACAATGACTGAAGTGTTTTCGGCTATGTACAACCTAATGTTGACCGTCTAATGTTAACCGGCGTCTAAAGTCATGTACAATCTAATGTTGACCGTCTAAAGAATATAGTTTATATAAGCATGCTGTATATATATGTTACAAAGTAGAAAGCTTCTCTATGGAGACAACATTTCTTTTGTTGTTAAAGAGTACTTTCGCCTCAACGGTTAAAAGAATTTCCATGAGGAAATCGCTGTCAGTTCCCTCAAACTCAATATCGCAAGTGTTTTGTTCTTTGTAGATGTTGAATAATTGTTGTAGTTGTCTTCAAACAGCAACAGGGTGGTTGTGGATGTGCCATCCTGAAAGGGCTTTACAAAAAGATAATACAGCAACATACAGCGCGGTTATACAAAGTACCAAGTACCATGACTAACAAAATATTTTTGAGTAAAAAACATAACTAAGATAAAGCCTTTATAAAAAGGTAATCCTGAATGGGCAATGCAGAATGAAAACGTGAAATTAAAAACTTTTGTGCATGCATATGCGGCAGCAAGGCCACACAAACAACTACATGACTAACAGAAGGTAGCTTAAAAAAACTCACCCTTTTTTATATAGTATGTTCTCGTTGAAACGTTCTGCCAGTATATCAAAACCTAAAACGGTGAATAACTTACGATTAAACTGTGTCAAAAATAACGTTTTAAGTCTTCATAAAGGATCCTGTCGGCGAAAGTAGAATACAAATGGCGGAAATTGAAAGCTTCTGTGTAACACAAGGTCGAATTTCTTCACAAGTCTATACAGCGTGCATTATACAGCGCGCTTGTACACGCCCATGACTAACAAAATAGTTTTGAGTAAAAAATATCACTAAGATGAAGATAATCCTGATAAGATAAGATAATCCTGAATGGGCAATGCAGAATGAAAACGTGAAATTAAAAACCTTCGTGCATGCATACAAGGCAGCAAGGCCACACAAACTAACATGAGACTAACATGAGGTCGAATTTCTTTATGTCAGTAAAGCGCGCAATATACAGATACACAAAGTAAAATACGAATGACTATAAAATAAAATATTTTTGTGTTTAAAATATAAGTAGAACCGTAGTAAAACAAGACCCTTTCTACGGTATTTAGTACACTTCCAACTCGTGAAATATGGAAATGTGACGCCAATGCAAAACGTTCAGACTGTATCATAAATTAAAACCTAAAACGATCAATAACTTATATTTAACTCGTAGACATAGAAGTACATCGACAGTGGCATCGCCAGCTTGATAAGTGGGGGGGACTTATTCATATATTCGTGTTTTACATTATTCATTTCTTTTCAAATTGATTGCTTTATCGGTCTGTCAACATGAATATATGAATATGTTCACCCCACTTATCGATGCTGGCGACGCCACTGTACATCGAGAATAGACTTTAGAATAAAAAATCCTGATAGCATCGCAAAATCCATACACACAAACAACTACACGAGGTCGATTTTTTTTAATATGCCTAAACGCGTGTAAATTAATATTACAGCGCGGTTATACACTATCTGAAATACAAAGTAAAACAAAATATTTTAAATTCACAGTAAATCCAAAGTATATTAAAATAACTTATAAGTTGATCAGTAATGGAACCTAAAAAACTCACCTAAAGTTAAACTCCAGACGACGCCAGTGTATTACAATCTAAAAGGATACGACTGCATGTTTACCACACAAGTATAATTGTGTAAATGTTTGACAAGGGAATAAATAGACTTACCTTGGTCTTTGAAACATAGACGTGAAAGAGCAAACAATTGCGACCACGAAGGTTTTATTCAAAGAGCCGAAATGCATTATGGTTGAAAAAAGAACTGCAAAAAGTGTGACCACAATGCATCGCTCTTGGCAAAAATCAAGATTTCGGATGCTATTTTAAATTTAGGAATTTGGCAGCAATTAACATATTTTGGCAAACTTCAACTTTCTATTGCTTAAGTTGTGTAACATTATTGCACTTTGCCCAGATGGAATACACAAGTTAAGTCTCTTCACTAGCCAATGACAAAAATCTGATTGCTACATCGTAAGGGAAGTATTTACTTTTTTCCAACAAACATAGCTGCGTGCTGAAGGAACTTGTAGGCCACACTTTCAAGATTTGGATTGGCACATTTTCACATAATTCAAATCCTTGTTTTTGATGCAAAACATGTAAGCATCAAATTTATAGCATGAGCAACATATTTAGCATCAAAATGATGTGTAGTGTTGAATGCCGTTAATGTGTATGGGATATATGGGATATATATTACTTCCGGTCACCATTTCGCGCTGCCACGAATTTTGAATATGTAAACAAACTGGTTTTCGAATATGTGAACAAACTGGCGCTTCGAGAATTTTATATGATGCTGTTTAGAAGGAACTAATGAGCACGTTTTAGTGTTGCATGTTTACTAAGTTATTATATTAGCTAGAGACTTTAATCGTTGAGACCGAACTTTATTATTCATTATTTAGACTGAACTTTAGACCGAATTATAATCGAACGTTCTAAAACTGTTCTAGCAGAACAAATCGAGCGCTATTAGTATTGACTATTGTAGTAAATAGTTGTATCGCGTGTTTAGAATATTAGCATTATGTAAAGTAGAGAAAAAGCTATAAAAAGCCGTAAAGTAATGGTAAACAAGTTAGTTGGTTAGTTAGTTCCTTCGTCGCTCAGTCATTTTCGAAATAAAATATTGTTATTTGTATAAAGCTTTAGTTGTCTTCGTTCTCGCGAACAGATGCCTTCGGAATTTTATGTAAGAGCCTTTCAGAATTTTATGTATATTGGCCTTTGGAATTTTTTACGATGCCTTTGGAGTTTTTCGTGATGCTGGCTTTAAACTATAGAATTTCAATGAGCTCTACCAAATGCTGCACAAACAAAGACCCTCTAATGAGTATACTGCAACCTATATTGAAAAGGTTAGTTTTTATGGAATATGTACTTCAGCTTAAAAAATATATATTTTATATATTATATATTTATATATATACATATATTCATTTGTATAATAGGCAAAGACTTGGGTGAAATATCTGATGGTTTTGAAGAGTAAGCATCACCTTATATGCATGCAATGGTCTATCATCATGTACCTAGCTTTATAAGAATACGTGGTGGAATAAAGAAATTATCAGGCCAAGGTAAAATATTCGAAGAGCACTTGCCATTATATACTTTAGTTGTCTCACACTGGTCATATATATATATTCTTAATATTCAACAGTACTAAGAAGAATAATGATGACTGTCGTCGAATTCACTTGAACAGTCAAATAAATGGGATGCTGCTGGGGATGTTCTTCTTGTCGCAAAAAGATCTGAGGCAACTTCTGAACATCAATGAAGCCCAAGACAATACAACAAGAGAAGTAGTCAATACTGCGAACATGATCTACTGGAGAAACAGGCCAAACACAATAAACAACAATTAGGCGGACAAAACCAAAGCCAAACAAATCAAACCACAAATAACAATTCTGTTGAAAACTGAGGAAATTTAATATTCGGTTAGCACTTATATAGACAATAAGAAGAAGAATTAGAGAGGTCATGTGACAGGGTGTGAAGAGAAACAAAGGGTGATTGTGAAAGTAAAATATAAAAGAGTTTTTTGTTTAATTTTTGAGAGTATTTTGTGACTTTTTGCGGAGTACAGCTCTGGGAGGCGAGCATCCGCAACACCTGGCACCTCCGAGAAGGGATAGAAGCGAACTCTATTGACAATTAGGCGGAACTATTGGAAAAACGCTTCAACAGCAAATTCGAGCGTGTTTATAAGGTACGGATTTGATGAAAATTATCGAGATTTTCAAGGTGAATCTTTATATACTAAACGAAGATTTATTAGGACATAATCAAAGGGAAGGTTTTAAACGGCTTGTTTTAGCTTACACGTCGATTTTAACGAGAAATTGATAATTTAAAGGATTCTATTCACGGGAATTTTATAATAGACAGGATACTATATATAAATCTTATATGGTTTGACGGATTTCTAGCGAATTGTGAATTACACCTATTTAGTAAAACCATCTTGATATGAGAAAAATATTGCCATGACAACAAGTGAAGCAAAACTGAAAGCGAAATTGACTCAACTAAAAATAACTGCAGATCGCACAAACAATGTACTGCAAAGTGAACAACCAGAAGCTATAGAGCGTCAACTTAAAGCTTTAAAGACTATTGTAACTGAAGCTAACCAATATCGAAGAAAGGAAGAGACACGAAAGATCGTTGCAGAACCAGACCTAACACAAATTGGTGAATGGAATGTAGAGATTGACACAGAATTGGCCCAGGCAGAACAAGAAATAAAACGCTTGACAACATGGATTGACAAGTACAGTTGGAGATTGGGTGAAGAAAAAGGAAGACAAGAACTAGATTTTGAGCAAAAACTTTTTTAGACACGCCTCAAGTTTCAAACCGAGCTTCAGCAGGCAAAAGCAATAGAGGAAGCTAAACTCAGTAAACTTAGTAAGGTCAGTAGTGAAGCGACAGTCCAAGTAGATAAAAATGCTCAAGCTAAGCTCCCAAAACTAGTAATAACCAAGTTTAATGGGACCTACCAGGACTGGCCCCAGTTTTGGGAGCAATTTAAAGAGATGGTTGATAAAACATCAGTTGAACCAGTCATAAAACTGACATACCGTAGAGAATTGCTAGAGACCAGAGTCAGAAAGACCTTTGAGGCTTTACCATTCTCAAACAAGGGATACAACAGAGCCAAAAGTATCTTGAAAGAAAGATTCGGGAAAGAGTCTGAGAGAGTCAAAGCATACAACAAACAGATCCTTGATCTCCCCACAGTTTCTGACCTGAATGTCAACAAGATTCATGAGTTTACCGACAAACTCACTTATGCTGTGCAGTCTTTGGAGACCATGGGCAAGCTATCACAAGTCAACGGAAATGTAGCCATGACTTATTGCTCGGCAAGAAGATATCAATGTGAAAAAATGTGTTTACTGTGAAGGGAAAACACACAAGTCAAATGAATGCACGGAAGTTACATCAAAAGAAAATGACTATGCCACAACTGTATGAGTTTAGCACATCAGTTGAGTGTCAGAGCAGAGCCAAGTGCAAGCATTGTGATCGACTTCAGCATACCTCTATCTGCAAGCAGAAAGAAACAGAGAATAAAGAGAAAGGGAATACGTTGTTAATTTCCACCGAACATAGTGGGGAAGGAGTTTTTCTTATGCTTTGGCAAAGCTTATTAATCTCTTAAAGAAAAAAACAGTCCATGTTACGAAGAAAAGAACTGATATGCTGATGAGATCACAAGTAGCACATCTGGAAACTTACCAAACATCGGTCAGTTCGGTAAGCGGCGAATTTAAGATGGATGTGAACTTAGTCAAGATCAACAAAGAGGAACTTTTATCAGTGGAGAATCCGAGATACAACGACTTGACTAAGAAGTATCCGCATCTAAAGGGCGTAGAAGTTCTAGATCATGATTTGAAACCAAAATTGCCGGTCCATGTGGTGCTCAGCGCTGGAGAATATCCACAAATAAAACAACCACCAAACCATGAATCGGTCAGGATAAAGAACCAATTGCTGAGCTAACTAAATTGGTATGGTTTGTCATGTCACCCGGAGCATAGTTTCACCATACCCAAATGTTACTTACCCAAAGTTCCCAAACCGACTATGAGCATCTATGGCGGTTGGACGTTTTGGAATTGGAGGATACATCTAAAAACGATCAAGGGGATGTGTACACAGGGTTTAAGGAACAGCTGAAGCATGATGCTCAAGGATGGTATGAGTCAGGAAGAGGGAATCATTGAATTGGCGCCAGAGAAATCACAAAGAGTTCTATTCACCACATAAAGGTGTTGAAAGAGCCTCGGCAAAGGAATCTGACAGTCCAGTGCTTAATGATTGTTTAAATCCGGGGCCGCCTCTTCAAAATAAACTTTGGAGTGTGCTCGTACGGCAAAGATCTTACCCAGTATCAGTATGTGGCGACATAGAGAAAGCATTCTTACAAGTATGTGTTAAAGTCTGTGAGTGAGATGCACTCAGATTCCATTGGAAACATCCGAGCGGTGATTTGATAACAGTCTACAGGTTTACTCGGGCTCTATTCTGGTTGACGTACTCACCTTTTCTACTTGGCAGCATCATCGATCAGCATTTGGAACTTTGGCAAAAGCGCAAACCTGAGATAGTAGCATAGCTCCGAAAGAACTTGTATGTAGATGTTCTGCTGACCGGTGGCACAACTGTACACAAGGCACAAGAGAAGAAAATGAAAATGACAAAGGTCATGAAAGATGCAACCTTCAAGTTGCACAAGTGGAATGTAAGTGAGAAAGTGCTTGAAGGGGATGGAAATTTACATAATGAAGACAAGTGCGAGTGTCAGACATTTGCGAAACAGCAATTGAACGTCAAGGGTAGTGATTCGAAACTTTTGGGTCTACAATGGGACAAAGAATCGGACAGGTTAACAGTAACTTTTATAGCATAGTGGGAATACAATACTTATGTGTTAAGTATACTATTTAAGTGGTGCTTTATCAGATACAATACTCAATTAAGCAAAAGCCCAGGTCTATACTGTATCTGATAAAGCATGAACTATGAGAGTTTTAATGGCTCCATAAGAAAATCTCTAAGAGTTTTTAATGGCTCCTTAAATATGAATCCAGTTTAAACACATTCTGACTGAGATAATTAAATGATATTAATTTTAAAAAACTGACATGACATAATTG